TTTTTTTTTTTTTTTTTTGTGTGTGTGTAACTATTAGGATGTAAGGTCAAGATAAATTACATTTTCTACCCATCATTTTTCTCTTAGAGTATCTCTCGCATCAGCATTTCCCTCAAGCTATACTCATGCTTCACCAGTTTTTTAAGCACAACAAGCAATCTAGACCTTGCCATCTCACAGCTGAATCAATCCAGCTCACAGGAGAGGATATTATATTATTCTTCCTGCTTGGCACACATCACTCCCTTGAACGTATTTGCTCCTCTCTTCTGTTTAATAAGAGAAGCTTTGGCCTTTGGATCAAATGTCACTTGCAGTACCTGCTGGAACAGTGATTTGTATTACGGATTTGCAGCAAAATCCACCACAATTATTATGAAAATTTTCCTTAGGAATAAGTGGATCCAGTGGAAAAAAGCAATGAACCACAGGCAGACACATAGATAGCTATTGGAATGGACAAAGCTACCTCACTTCAGTCCTTTTAAATATCTCTATAACAAAATTGCCTGGGACATCTGGACACCATGGTCAGCTCAGACTCAGCACATTCTTTCTCATGTGAAGTTCTGGAGTATGGAAGACTACAGCCAAGCATAAGTCCTGACAGTATGTGTTGCATCAATGTCTACTGTACATAACTGCAGTTGTTTGCTCTCTGCAACCACCATACAGTCAGTGCAGTGAGCCCCTCACCTGTATTGCTTTCCATGGGACAAGGAGAGAGGGATGTCCAGTAAGGAGTGTAAGAAGGTTTTACCATTTGTCCACGCTGCACACACCTAACACAGAAACAAAGAAAACAACTGGAACTGCTTGAAACAATTTGAATACATCCTTACTTGAAGTTAAACAAGAATTTCATCCCTTTGCATGAGTCTTCCCTAAATTATAGCCTCATTTGTAGATTAAATTTGCCTGAGGACAAGAGTTTTCAAAGGAGTTAGATAATCTACAGCCATCCAGGGTATCCAGAGACATAATTAATAGCTCCAAAAAAAGGGAATGAAGTTTAAACATTCATGTTTCAGATATTAGAGTGTGGCGAGGACGTGTTTTGTATCTTTGTAGCCTGAGCTTGGGAAAAGAGCTTCCTTAGATTCTTTCAAGCATCTCACCACTGACAGAGACAGATTACTGAAATAGATGGTCTTTAGGTCTCATTCGGTTCTTAATCACTGGATCCTGCGATGCAGTCAGGTAACATTTTTCTTCCTGAGCACATTAAAATATGTAGGCAAACCAGATAACATTTTCTAAGCTTATTTAATATTTCTAATGTGGCTGTCAGTTGGCTTATGAAATGTTTACCTTTACAGTGGTTTTCACTTTCCTCTTAATAAGTTTTCTCTTTGGAAATTAAACCAAACCGTGATACTGTGCAAAGATATTGCCAGTACTGCTGACCATACAGAGTGCTGAGTTTCCTGAGGCCATTTTATAATTAAATGCTGGAATGTGAATGAGTTTACTCACTGAAGAAGATACTGCATTTGAAATCTTCCCAACATAATTTCTTCTTTTAAACTCCATCACCTAGTGTTCTTAAAGCCTACCCAGAAATTAAATACTGTTCTGTGATGGTGCAAATTCCTGCATGGCATTCAGCCACAAAATTTTGGACCTCTGTACAAATGAAGGCCAGATGAAGCAAGGCAAGTACAACAAAAAGCCTGTGTGATGTGTAGGCATAAGTTGTATACTCTGCAGTGTTGCTGAAATTGTAAATTCAGAATCCCCAGCTTGCACAGCTGTGAGTCAAATCAAAGTAAAACAAGCAACTAATTTCAAGTGGATACTGCTTCAGACCACCTAGAGTCCCTCTGATCAAGTTATGCTGTCGGGCAGTGGTATGTACTATTAGAGCTGCCCTACTGTGGGAAATTGGGTCAAAAATCTCTAGCAAAGCCAGATTGCTTCCTATTTTTATTACTATTTTGTGATTTTTAATGGTCTGCATAGCAAGCCCTCCAGCAGTTCAAAAAGGACATGTCCGCAGCTTAATATGGGGCCCATCAGAAGACATGTGGCTACAAGCAAATGGCAATTTTCTCATATTTAGGCTTATTCTCTCACTTGTCAGTGGCATTTTTGTCCCTATAGAAGTACTAAACACACACATGCAACACAAAAGCTCCTGCTATCCTCCAGTCTTTCCACCTGCACTGTGGTGTCACGACTCTTTCTGAATTGCCATCGTGAACATCCAAAGAGGAATTTTCTACTTTCTCCCCGCACAACTTCTGTCTTAATGCACTGAACTCTTCCATTACTCATGTTCACACCTTTTAAAAATTCCTAATCATGATTTCCAGCCAGTCTAGACGTGAATAGTTGATTTAATCATTCTGCAGAGTGCATGCTTTCCTGACCCACTAACCACTTTTACAGCTTCTCTCTAAACTCCCTCCAAATTAGTCAACATCTTTCTGTTAATGATGCATTCAGAGTTAACCTAAAAGGTGAAAAAGCATCACTAAATGAGCTCCTTTCTACACTAGCAGTGGCTTAAATGAAAGTAAGCTCCAGCAAAAAAAGTTGACTTTAATGGTACTAGCAGCTGAGAGAAAAGTCTGCTTAGAAGTGGAGCCACGAGGCAGATGGATGGTTACAGGAATTTTAACAGACCAATATGCTAATGTGGAGATGCCAATAAACAGAATCATTTGGATGAATATTTGATGGATTCAGGGCAACATCATAAGATTTTCAATTTAATTAAAAAAGGCCTAGGAAACCAGAGAAAAACAAAAACATGTTCTCTTCATACTCCTTAAAGGAAATTGTTTTGAGTTTTTTTTCCAGTCCAGTAATAGGAAACTTTAAAAGAACAAGAATGGCAAGTACACAGGTTCTTTACTTACTTTCAGAAAAGGAAAGAACTGATCTAGCTATTGCTTCTGACTAAAGCAGGAGGGATATTTCAGACAAGGAGCTTGTGGGAGGGAAGAGATTGCATTCCCTAATCATACATGCTCTTCCTCTGTATCCATGGACTGCCATACAATTTCTTTGGTGTAACAAGTGAGCAGTGACACAGAATGTCATGGAACTGCTTGGACTATAAAACATTACTGGTTGTGTGGAGAGATTGGTATTAAAATATTAAAATATCTGCTCAAGAAAAGCAATAATCAGAATGCTAAAAAATGGAAGAAATTAAATGTCAGTCTACTCATGCAATTGCTAAGGAAAATATTTAATCTTTTGTATCTTAGTTACATGAGCACTAATTCTATGACAAAGAATCTCTGGCAGGGCTATAAAGAAAAAAATAAGTGTAAAGCCAATTTCAAAATCAGATTCAATATCAAATAATGAGAATATTTCCAAAGATTCACAGAGCTGAGAATTATCTCAAAACATTTATGGAAATTCTTAAGAAATTACAACTTCTATTGAAAGAGAAAAGAATTCTTGTAAATTTTTAATCTAAGCTACACAGACAATTATATTAATAAGAGCAAATTATTTCATGAAATATTTAGTTTTTCTCTATGCTAAATATTACTTTGAACATGATTCTCCTGAGAAGATTTGAAAGTTCAAGAAATACATAGAAACAAAACAGGAACAACTATTAAATATAATTTTGAAAATGTATTCATAGCATAGAGCATTGCTTCCATCATTACTTAAAAAATGAAAATACTTTGGTGAGCTATTGCATTTTATTCTTTTTGTAGACAGAGAAAAAAACATAATAAATACTTTGTGCAATATGTTCATTTAATAGAAAAACATCTCATGTATTATAGAACACATAATGTACAATTAACATCAAAGTTATGGCAGAAATGCACAGCTTTTTATTAATGTCTACATTTACTTTGTATTATGCCAAAGCTAACCAGCCATGTATTTGCTATCATCTACAATATGTCTTGATAATTAATCCAATTGTGAAATTTCCTAAATTGTGTGCTGCTGTGGCTTTTGTTGTATGGCTCCTCAACGTGACATTACTTCATAATTAATGCATGCCACATTTCCTGTAGGAAATGCATTGGTTTCTAGCCATCCCAGTCCTTAGCACTGACTCACCACTGGGTTTATCTGCACTGTCCCACAGGCTGGGTCCCCATTCTCACCCAAACACTGGCCTTTGACTGCCCATGCACCACTCAACAGTGCTGAGATGTCAAATCCCAAGAGTTTACCTGACTGTTAGGTGACTGTAGGAGAGCACATTGGAGACACAGTGTAAATGTGGACAAGTCCTCCCTCAGGCTGTCAGCTCCTCCCAGGTGGGAATCATGGCTACGGGGAGGCTACCCTGAAAAAGACAAGCATGTGTTTCTGTAAACAAGAGTTCTGCTCTTACATTTAATACAATTAACACTTGCGCTGACACATATCTATGCACATTTATATATATATGTACAAAATATCATTTATATATATTCATATGCACACGTGTGTATACATACATCATACAATCTACACAGAAGAAGTCCTGCACACACACCCTCCCCATCAGAAATTTTTACTATTATAAGTATTATCTATATTATTATTATTATATATATCTATTATTTCTTCAGAGCATGCTCAGAACCTGCCCTGCAATAAGCTCTTCAAAAGTTTCTGTGCATAGGACACACTTTCTCTATATTTGTCTATTCCTTTTCATGGATTTTGTCTGCCCTTCCTTTCTGCTCTTTTCCTCTGACTTTCACATATATAAATTCATTTATTTTCTCATTTTTATCTCTTTCTTTTTTTGTCTCTTGCTCGTTCTAGCCCACTCAGTTTCCTAGTACCTATTCCTTTGGGCTACAGCTTTGATTTGTGCTTTCTCCATTTTATTCGGAGACCGAAAAAGGAGGGAGCAAGTGGCCCCATGTGTACAGAAGCAGGGATGCAGCACAAAGTGGAGCATAGGAGCTGGCTGCCTGGCATGTCACATGGCAAAGGACACGAAAGAGAAAAATTACAATTATGAAAGCCCGTAGCTCAAGGAGAGAAGCTGCAGTAAAGCATGGGGAGCTGACAGTCTGACCTCAGAGGAGAAGAGCAAATAAACCTGCCCAGGAATGAGAAAGAGGGCTGCACAGTTTGCTGCAGCTCAGAAACTCCGAATTAACAAAAAAAAAAAAACCCTGCAAACCAAGAGGGACCTGCATGGGGAGAGAGGAAGAGATGCCCAGAAACCTTTTTCTTCTTGTTCTGTCTCACCTAATTTCCTGGAGGATTTGTTTTGTTTTAATTTTTGGTTTAGAAGGTAACTAGCCAAGTATGAATTTCAGAAAAAAAAAAAAAAGACACACACATTTATTTATCTATTTAAGGGCCTCTGCTCCTTCTTGAAAGCCTGAACTGCCAGAAACAAAAGGCAGTCCCACCTCCACTTGAGCTGAAATTGGGGCCCTTCACAACCACAGAGTGAGGCAGATTTTGCTCTTCGGTTAGTGCACAAGGAGGTGGTAGAGTCCAAGTTTATTAGACTGAAATATGATTTCCCCAAATCATTCAAAATTTCTCCTTCCTCCCCTCTTTTAAGGTTTTAAATGCCTGAAAGCTTTCCTGTACTCAAGTGCCTACTTTGGAACTGTGTTACAACTTGTTTTTTTTTGTGAAAGCTATGTCTTACATATAATCACTTCCCACTTCTCTTTCCACTCTTCCTAATACTAAATAATGCACAGAAGGCCTCACCTGTTGTTTGTAATGTGCAGGACAATCATCCATGCATCTCTCCCTCCCTGCTGCCAAGGAGCCCCTTTGGATCAGCAGCCCTTGGGTAGAAAATTCATTGGTCAACTGCTGTGGTCTTCAGCAGGCTTTGCAGCAATCTTTGGCACCCTCAAATCTTGAATTTTCTCACCTCAGACACATTTCCATATACGTATGCATAAGGAGAGAGGGAGAAGAAACTTCTGGGGCTGCGGCACCAGAGTCTTCATGGGTGGAACCAAGTTTGCATTCAGGCACTAAACACTGAACTGAGTTGAAAACAAATATCAGTTTTCATTGCAAGCTTAGAGCTCTTCTGTGGAAAATTAATTCAAGAGAATAGTAAGTCAATTAATGTGTTAACTTTGCTGTTCCTTCAAAGAGCTTTCACAGCTGCATTAATATAAATGTTCCAATATCGCTTAGGATTGTTCTCCTTGCACATATACCTTATGCTTAACATAGGAACTATCTCAGTGCCTGGACAGCCATTTCAGAGGTGGCCTCAGCATCCAAGTCCTGCCTCTAAATTCCAGTACACGTAGCTATGATTTTTTATTTTATCTTCTATCTTTATGAGCCATTCTTGTACCATCACTACCCCACAAGCTGGTGTTGAACTCAGTCACAGATGGCAGTCCCATGCATAGGCCTCAGTGATTTCCTTGTTGTCTGTTTACGAATGAACTTTTTACGCCTAAAAAATTAACCAAATCAAAGGCACTGCAAAAGTAATCAGAGGCACAGAGATAATATATCTCATGGGCTGCTGACAGTGTGGAATATCTGCCCAACTAGGAGGCCATAGAGATATGTGCTTCCATTGGGTTTTATGAGGAGCTAGATAGGTTTTGTCAACAGTAAAAGCATTTTCAGCCATACCACAGCAGCAAATACAATAAAGGCAATGCAACCTTGTGCTCCAGGCAGTGCAGACAGTTCCATGATGAGTCTCGACCTACACATCTCTGCTGGGCAGGGTGAGGTTCTGTGCATAGGGTGTAGGGTCAGCTTTGGGGTTTGATGGTCCGAACACACACAACACACTATATTTTCTGGAAAAAGAAGAAAATGAAAGCCAAGCTAGGGCAAAGAGGAGGAAAAAAAACCAAACAACATGTCAAGTTTTCAGTTAGCAGAGGAGAAATGAAAATAAGATTTAGTAAGAGATCAGCTTTAACTCTGAAACAAATCCAGCAGGCACTTGTGATAGCATATAGCTGTTATCCCTACGATGACAAACACCAAAACAGATCACTTCTTTTGTGTCTGAAATAGGCCTTTGTCCTAGCTCCATAGAAGAGAAGCCTGGACTGGATGGTGCAAACGGTGTTATCACAGTGCTGATGCTCTGACAAGGTGCTTTGTGAGTAAACCAAGGTAAGTTCTATTGTCGTTTGTCTAGTTATCTGTCCAAACAATACTTTCAATTTTCATTTTTTGTCATTAAGATGGATTCACTCTGAGTTCTTCCTGAGTAGTAAGGCAAAAATATGCCTTCCCTGCGACTGCATTATTTCCTTCCTTTTCCACGGACAGATGCTCAGATAAAGCAGCAAAGCTCCTCTGAAGTGAACTGAGCCATGATAGCTCCAGCTACAGATTTTGTCCATAGCAGATACCTCTGTGGACTGATCCTGATCCTGGAGAAGTCAGCCATGAAATTCCACATATTTTCAGTAGGGCAGAATTGGTCCCAGTGTATACATAGAGCTGAATTGCTGAAAAGATGAAGGAAGAAAAGGCGTCGTAAAGTTCCTGGTTTGCTAAGCAGATGGGGGAAAGAAGTCCAATTATAGTGTAAAGCATCATTTCACTAAAAGAAGTGTGAGTGCTGGAAGAGCTCTGAACAGAGGGGATTTTGCTCTGCCATGTGCAGTCTCCAGGAAACAAAAGGAAGGGTGTGACTGAAATGAAGACAGGCAGAATGTAATATTTTCCTTTGATGTGTAAACAGATTTAATGCAACAAAAATCAATGAGGAAACTCTCCAAAGGAGAGTATTTTAATGTGTTATCATATTTCACATAGATTTCATAAAAACTCAATTTCAATTATAGCACAGTTTACAAACAGTGCTGTGCCTCCCTGGAAAACATATGGCCATCAAAACTTCAAACAAAATACTGCCAAAGCCTCTCATAAAAAATAAATACCCATAAGCCAGTGTGTTATTGTCCTTATAATGTTTGTTGAATGCCTATAATTCTTCTCGTGTCCGCCTCGGCTGTCAGCTTTCTGACACTCTGCTCTCCCTTCCACTTACCTCCCGTGGAAGATGTCTTGGAGACAGAATGCGAGCAGGAAATATAGTGTGAGGAGCTTTTAATTATTTTGGATATTATCTTACATTTCCAGCTGGGTTGCTGCAGAAAAAGAAAAAAAAAATGTCATAACCAACCCCTTGCAAAACAACGGAATAGCATCAGCAGAGAGACAGTGGCTGAGGGATGGGATGGTGCTGCAGCATCTGCTAAAAATGAGGAAACGGACTCTGGCCCAACAGCAGCAAATGGTTCCCTGAGATCTCTGGGCTCCTGCACAAGCTCCTGCTTTGATAAATGAATAACCTGCCCCACAGCTCAGCCTCTGGTCTCTCTGCAAGAGGTTGTGCAGGATCAGAGTGGTATGCATGCAGGTGGGGGCTCATTTTTGTATTTCTATCAAGGGATTAGATCAAAGTGGATTCTGTAATTTTGTCACGTAGGGACTCAATGTTGCTTAATGCACTGCAGTGTGCAACAAAAGGGCATTTAGAACTTATAGATAAGAAGCTGTAAATAGGTCAAAATAGCCAGTGTTGGCTCATAAGCTGGCTCTTTCCACTTCTGCTAGAAGTTCAAGGGCAGAATGAAGGTAACACTGGGGAGAATGGCAAAGTTGGCTCTGAAACAGCTCTGACTCAGCACACCAACATACAGCTTACCCTATAACCCAGTGATCACTGCCAGGATATCTGTGTGTCAAATCACTTTTTGTTCAGCTGTGAAATAGGCAAAATTCTATGGAAGAAGAAGTGATGCTTTTTTCCTACCTATAATTTCCAGAAGAATCCCTGTATCTCTCTGTGCCATTCTGAATCAGCACAGAAATAATCTTCATCCAGTAACAACAAAAGTATTCCCTTTTTATCAGTGGAGACTCATCTCTTTTGTTCTCTAAGGCCATCCTGCTGTCAGAAGGAGACCAACGTGAACAAAAGAAGGGCTGCCATTTTTGAGGGAAGACAAGCTGCCCTGTTCCTCGCTGAGCATCAGCCTTTTTTGCCTCTGTAGTGTGTGCATGGGGAAGGGCATTCACCCATTTCACTCCTATACAATGCCATGCAGCTCCTGTAGGTTCCAGGGGCATTTGGAAATATTGGGGGGGGGGGGGGGGGGAAGAGATACTCGTTTTAGAGGTTTTGCACTGTGCTTGTGCAGTGAAGAGAGAAGCTGGAGATGGAGGGAGGTTAATGCGGAGCAAATACTGATAAAGCGCCAGGAATGTAGCAGGAGAAATGAAAAAAAAAGAAATATATGGAAGAAGGAAGACATTACTGATAGCATTAGTGAAGTGCAAGTGTGTGGGAAGAAAATGTGATGGATGCTGGCAAGGGAGGAAGAGCTCACAAACTGATGTATTTCAGTTGTGAGAAAGAGGACACTGCTCAGAGCTATTACTTTTCCTCAGTACACACCTGTCTAACAAAGACTGTGATGGTGGAGTGATGGCAGGCAGTAGCGTGGCCTGTGCCTCTGCAAGGATGCTACAGCTGGCACCGTTGAATTTTGCTCTACTTTCACTGGAATAGACATCCTATGTGAAGTTAAAAAGAAGAAAAAAAAAAAAAAGGAAAAAACAGAGCCCATGACAGCCAGTCTCTGAATCCTAGGGAGATGGGTCAATGTGCAGCCACTTTGGCACTAATGTGAAGAGCAGGTAGTGACAATCTCAGCCCTGAACTCTCTCTCTCTGCAGGGCTGTCCTCACTGCTGTAGACCCAGCAAGCCTTCATGTAATAGGAGAACTAGGCAAAAAATATGCACTATCTGTAATTGCTAGATACCTCTGGGACAGCTGCTGGCTGAAAGGAGCATCCTATATTGGGAAAGGTCACTTGTCTTGTAAGGGGCTGCACATACGATAAAGACATATCTAGGAGAAGATAGCAAATTTTTTTTTTTTTTTTTTTTCAGAAGGGATTTGAAATATATCATTGCTATATACCCACTGACATTAATTCAGCGTCTACAAAGGATGTGTTCTACTCAGAGTATGGCCAATCATCCCCACATCTGCCATTAGGATTTTGCATGAAAGCATTTAGTGGAACTTTTTTTTTCCCCCACAAGTGGTCCATGTCTTCACTAACTGAACTACTTTATATACTTAATATTTTTATAGGTAAGCTCCTAGGGACAGACTGATATTCAAGCTCATTGGCTTAAGTAGCCACCAACAGTGTGGCCTGGTCATCTCTAGAAAAGATATAAAAAGGAAAGGGTGATTTATTTTTTTTTTTCCTTTCTTACTACTAACAACTGTACCTAAGATCACAACAGACATAACAGAAATACTAAAATTAATCATTCTCCAAATGCCTGAGCAAGTAGCAATGACTTAACGTTAAAAACAGATACTTGCTGCTTTTGAGCTAGTTCTGTCAAGATTCATCGATAAATATCCTTGTACAGAAAGATGGGTCTCATAACGTCTCCCAAAAGAATTTACAAATGATGGGAAGGCTTCATGTACAATTACAATCGTAACAGCATTACAGTGCACAGGAACGTGTACTTCTGATGCTCGTTACTGCCTACCACCTCAGTCTTTACCGTGAGGCAAATTTATTCTCAAATTTTCCAGTCTCCTATTTAGAGATCTGTAATATCAAGGCAGCCTTACCCCATAAACCGTGAATTCACACTCAGATGACAGTCCTAGAAGGGCATTCATAGGTGTGCACGTTGACTCAGCCTCCCCATTAAATACAAACCTCCGGAGTCTGCAGCACTTTTGGATGAAAAATAACATACCTTTTTTGCCTTCAGATTCCTCATCTCCAAAAGCAGGCAGTGGTGGGGTGGGCAGCATGTATCTGAGAGCCACAGGAGTCAACGTGCATTTGGGAGTGATCCAGTGCATGTACAGGAAAGCACAAGGCTGGTATCTAAGTGCTCTTATATATTTAATGAAGAGTCATGAAGAGGAAATTGGCAACTTTGCTTAACTTGTAAACAGCCAGGTGACATTAGCTGACAAACATTATGATAATGTTTCCCTGCTATCAGGCAGGAAGAATAAAGAACAAGAGCTGAAGTAATGGAGGCCAGAGTTAACGCTTCAGTCAGTATGTGGATCGGTGTTATTGCAGAAGGTGGAACCCACCTGTGCAGAGCAAAGGCTCTTTGGGGTGTCTGTGTGTGGTGTGTGTCCTTAGGACATATCAGGGAGAGTGGTGGACCTGGTGTAGTGCCTAGAGGAAGGCATGAATCTGCGGGGGCAAGACTCCCCAGAATGGACAAGGTCACACGGTTGGCGTGGACAGCACTGCCATGAAGGCTCCATGAAGTCAGGCAACGTTTAAGAAAATGAATTAAATTCCAAAAGAAATGCTTCCTGGGTCTGTGCCTCAGGACTGGAGCAGAGATACCTGGGCCACAGTTTCCTGCAGTGCTGAGGGAAGTGGGGAAGAGAAGAAAGCTGTGGTAGACTTTGATGAGGCTACTCTTGAGTGAATGCACAGTGAATAAAAGACAGCTCTTGGAAACTAATTATTACATAAAAGTGCTCAGTGCAGATGTGTTGAAGATGCAGTTATGAAAGATGGGATTTAGCATCTATTCCAATAAAACCTGTGTCAAATGACAGCCAAGTCTGACACAGTTAATTAAAGCAGGGTGCTCAGACAGTCATGTATAGACAGCAATAAACAGCGTTTTCAGTTGATTAAACAGCAAAGGCTGGGGCTTTTGGCTTGGCACAGGAAATACTTGCTGCAAGTGCACCTAAATGCTGCAGTATTGCTGTTCCCAACCTGGCAGGGAAGCCCTTGGTGCATTCAGATGGCTGTCCCATTAGCACAGGCTAATAAATTATAATAAATGCCCACAAGGTGTCTGGGAGAAAGCATGGCGCATGGTGAAGCAATTTGCTGGGCCTCCAACAGGTAGGAAAGGTGTTTGGAAGTGGGCATGCATTCATTGGGATGGTTTGGTTTTTCCACTTGTTTTTAAAGATGCTCCTGTTGGTTTTTTGACAGAGAAAAGATGTGCCAGAGCACTGATAAAGGAGTTTGGGAGCACTGAGACTTATTCTTAGTGCAATCAGCTTCCATTGTTCATAGCTTTCAGCTCTCATCTTCAGCAGCAGTGTCGCAGGCATGCAGTACGACAGCCAACGTTTACACATGTAACAGTAAAGTGCCTTGCCACAGATTATGTTTATAGCCAAGAAAAGAACAATAGAGAAACAAGAGAAGCATTGTATGCCTTTCACAGCACTCTGTCATTAACAACAGTGTCCTGCAGCCATTCTTCCTCAGCAAGGAGTTTTACTGAACAATTCACTAGGAATATGGAAGACTAAAGCTGGCTGTGAGTGAATTTCTGCTTTCCATCTCACTGGGTTCATTAAGCACAATTAACCCCCTCTCACTGAGAATGCCACCAGCTGTACTTATACACTTTAACACTGGTATCCCAGGATTTGTGAGTATGGTTCATATTATTGATACGAATTCCTGCATTTATAGAATAATCAAATGGATGAGTACAATTCAGATGAGAAAAGTAGTATGGCAAAATTTTTGTTACGTTTTCTTTCTCTTGTAAGCAACAATAGATTTCCTAGGCTCTTCAAGATGGTAAACACTGTAGGAAATGGAATGAAGGGACTTCCTACTAAAAATCTCAGCAGAGAACTGCCAACAGTGCAATAAATGTAATATAATATCATATAACACAATGCAATACAATGCAAGCTGCCTGCTGGTGTCAGAGGACTGACAGGAAACGGCAACTTATGGGATACAAGGGCTCATCAACAGAGCTAATTATCTCTTATGAATTGTTAATAGGTAAAAAATATTTTTATTGTATACGATCCAGAGAACAAAAAGAGGCTAAAAACCATATGGAGGAATGAAAGAGCAGGATGGACATATTTCTAGAGACTTTGTGCTGGATTCATTTATCAGTCTGAGTTTTCCAGACTCAGGAGCCAAGCAGAGCTTCTTTGCAAATCCATGCGGAGCTTAAAAGTAGTAGAGAAAAGCAGCAATTCAAAATGAGTTTTAGTAATGAGGCTGCTCTTTACTTTTCACAACAATGGATTTTTTTAAAAGATTTGTCAAAGAGAATTGAATTTGGATCCGTGAATACTGCAGTAAATGATGCAACTCGAGTTAATTAAATTCCATCACCCAAGAAATACATTTTTTCTGTCTTTCAGCAGATGTTTGCTACAGCCATAGTCTTGGTGGAAGCTAAGCACTCATTTTAGATCAACAAGTTTTACCTGTGAAGCTATTCTGAGTATACTTCAAACATATGGAAAAGTCTCATGAGCAAAAGCTATTTAGAATAGGAAAGATGGAAAAGTAAAGCTAATGTGAATCAGCTCAGTATTCTTTTTTTGTTAAGTTTTGGTGCAAGTATAGGTATGCACCTCACCAAGAACAACCTTTACTTTGGGAGGAGGTGGAGTGTTGCCAGGCTTTCCCCCTTGGGAATACTAATTACAGTACACACCACCAAGGATCTCCATCAACACTCAAATGAGTTTTGGAATTGAGAAGCAAGTGACTAAAGCGTTACTTGCAGCATTAAATCACGGGGTGTCCCAAGGCGCACAGCAATATGATAAAAAAGTTTTTCTCTCATTTTGTGGAACAGATACTATGAGTATCATTTCACATCCAGATACCTGCCCATCAGCAGTATCCAGCCAATGTTCATTACCACGACATTACTAATATTTTTCTAAAAACACAAGTACAGATGATGCTTGTATGTACAGCAAACACAGGGCAGCAGTATTTACTTCAAAATGCACCTTTTTTTTTTTTTTTTCTTTCACTTGAATACTTTCAATAGCAATATTGTGTGTTCTTACAAGGGTTTCAGACCACAGATTTATGCTCTACTGGTAACTACATTGCTACTTTCAGCAATAAACTCTATTCAGAAAAAAAAACCAAAAAACCATAAAATCTCATGTGCCCTGACTGCACAGTGAACCTAAAAAAAAAAAAAAAAATCTATCATTAAGAAGCAGATTTGCTACACAGAATTTTGAGCAGCTTTAATTTCTGCTGTACATTCTCACCCACACTGAACAGTGAACTCCTGAGCTCACACGCGAAACATCCAATGACAGGATTTTAAATCCTGGAGCATAAAGAAACTAATTTAATCATCCCAAAGCATGTTGATAAAATAGTTAAGTAGATTAGATTAAAATTCCGCACTTGCAATGTTTTATGAGCAAAGCTGCTTAGTCCTATGGGTAGCATTTTTCTTTGCAGTAGTCCAAGAAAAGCATCACAAACAGTTGTGTTATGTACACTGAATACATGTTACTTATATCATAATAATTGCTCAGTTCTTGGCAAACTCAGAATTCAGAGTACTCATAAAGAGCAAGTTATGTGCATATCCATTTCCTATTAGAAATTTAATTACGTGGAACCAGGCTATGAAAACTAGAAATTTTGCTTCCTGCTCACGTGCCTGGACTTCAGAAGTCATCTGTGTGTTTCTGTAGTACCTTAGCCCCAGATATTGCCAAATTAAGTGCCACCAGATCTCATAGTG